CAATTTTCTCCATCTAATCTAAAAACAGAAATGGGGTCACGACCAACATCCGTTCTACTCCTCTCCTTTCTACTATGTTGTGAGTTTTTTAATCTATATCGAAAACTAAACTCATGTCTAAATATAGTATGGTGATTAAATCATTTCTTTGATTGACATGTAGGCGCGTTCATGTTGCTTGTACCAAAAACAGAGAGTCGTAAGAATATCCCAATATGCGGAACTAAAGGTGATTGCGATGGCGCATGGTGTGTTAATGGAGGAGTAGGAAAATGTGTTATGTGGCCTTGTGACTTTACGGAAGATTGTCTTAAAAAAATTCGTTGCGGTAGATTACAAGGGCCTTGGTGTATGGAAGCGATATGTACTTGTGGCGGTTCCTTGTGACTCACCCTCCCTGGACGAACCTTGTTAAATATTATAAAACTTCTAATCGAATAATATTGTTTTTGGGTTATCTTGTTTTCTGGATCTGTGTTTAAATACAAGAACCAAATATTCGTTGCAAGAAAATAAGTATTATCAAGTAATCTTTTTTTTTTTATTGATTGTAAATATCAACTCATTGGTTTGAGAATTCATAAAGTAAATAATGGTTTTTGGTCAAGGAATTAAAAAATATCATGTGTAAGGTGGGGGGGAGGTAATTAGCGTTTCAACATAGAGATTTTTATTAGAGTTTACAGTTTAATTTCTGTCTTTTTTTTTGTTCTTTAAATTCATTTTTTCTCTTTTTTTTTGTCATCAAAGTATCTTTCATTGATTATAACTTTCTACAATGGAATATTACAGAGGCCATTTGATTACATAAGATTGGTTGCGCATTCTGGCATATTTTGCTAAGTAATCTGCACTGACATTTGCTAGCTTGTTGATGTGCCTAAATGTGAAACCCTTGTTTTGAGCAACTTTACCAATATCCTGCATGTAAATAGGTATAGAACAATGCTTCGCTTCCTGCAAATTTTTCTTGTCTTGAGCCAGTTGCAATGGTCTATATAACGATTGCATATCTCCACAAAATGTAACTTTGTCATACCCCAGCCTGGCCAAGCTAAAAACTGCTGTCCTTAAGGCCTCCGCTTCTGCTTCCATTGCAGTTGATAGGGGTTTTATTGTTCCCGAGCCTCTAGAGTAAGACTCTCTCCCGTTTGTCAACAAGAGTCCATCCTATTCCAGCTGCTTCATGTGGGGAAACCCAGAAGGCATCTACAAAACAATTTAGATGCTTAGCATGTTGTACCATCTGTTGTACTGTTCTTGGAACCATATTTTTGCATTGACATTGTACATGATCACTTGTATCAACATGGTTATTAAGCTGTATAGCTTCTATCGAAGACTGCAAATCCAACAACGCACCACTGATAACACATTTAATTTGGAATTATAATTTTTGGTGGATATAAAAAAAAAAGGTAAAAGTATTATTGGCTTATATTTTAATATTATGATCATCCTTATGTTACATTTTAATATTTAGAATTAACTTACATTAGACTTAGCTAATAAATTAATGTAAGAATTCATTATTAAAATTATTGAAAACACTTATTTTTGTC